TTTGTTCAAAAAGTCTTACAAGGTTGACAAGGGCTTAATGCAAGACTACAGATTCAAATCGAAATTTGAAACCACTTACCCCCTTATATGATGAACAGGAAGGCATCGTAGAAAGATATGAAAAAAGAACACATTTGAATTTAGTGACACATTCTATGACAATAATGATCGATCTACAAATATTTATTTTATATATCCATCTATATATGTAATATTAGCCTTGCCCCAAGTCGGTCTCTTTTACTTATCTTGATTTCTATTATGACCGCCTTGTACCAAAGAGAAAGCCACGTGCTTTACCGACAGTTTGTTTATGTCGGTGATTTTGACCAATAGCACGCGATCTTTCAATGTCTAAATTTAGGTTACAAACACACGAGGTAATACAGTTGTTGATTTTGCTCCAATCAGCAAGTTTGTATCGGAACCTTTGATAGTGGCATTGTGGGAAGTCCTACCTCGCTTTACTTTCATCAGCTAGCTAAACTGAAAATGACCCTCGCAAAATCGATAAACGTTTTATTTGCCAAATATAATTGAAAGTAATTTGAATGTAGTGAACCGATTTAATATCAGAAAGTTGATGACTGATCAGTTCACATATAAACACTTATAGTTATGCTGTAAAAAGGATAATGAAAAGTTATTATGTTTCTGGTGAATGCGTTTTATTTGTAAGGGAGATACCTGGATTTGCAGACTGCAAGCATGCCGCATATAACTTCACAACCGCATGGCGAACACGTGGATTTATTTATTGATTTTTGTGTATGACTACCGCTATTGGCTAATGCTATAGGGCACGCGTACTAGTTGGTGCATAATTTATCATAATAACAGTGGAGATGTATCGGATTACACAAGGCGGTAATAATTCAAGATCAGATAAAGTAAAAAATACCGACTTGGGGCAAGGCTAATGTAATATCTATATATCCATTTTTTATTATATGATCGTGGAGATTATATTACTTTTGTATCAATCGAACAGACCGCCTATACACTGGCGGATCCAGAAGCTAACAAGGGGCCCAAACTTTGAGTCTGGCAACAATTGGGCCCCTGAAAATTCTAGGCCCATTTTTGATAAAAAGGCCCATTTCTGAGGCCCTACAAAATATTTGACCCCAAAATTTTTGAGGCCATATTTCTGGGCCCACAATGGGGGGGGGGGGGGCATGCCCCTTTGATCCGCCAGTGCTACACACTCCCCCAACGCTGACTCCCCGTTTGTTAGCCTATCAAAAATGGGTGACATTTCCAAACCTTTCGAGGGAAGTGTATGTTAAATGCTAGTAAATAACATATAAAGTTTTAAATCAAAGTCATGTCAAGAGGGCATCCTCGACGCAATAGATGGCAATGGCCACTCGCACGTTGTTAAACATGTGTACATGTGTATACTAGGGGGTGAAGACGCTCAGAGTATTTTCGTGGAGTACACAGGAAACGCATTATAAAAACCGCCATATTTATTCAAAAATATGTAGGTGTAGGTTTATTTTGTCGTCTGTGGATGTACGTTGAATACATGTACTTCCTCATCTCCCAATACATCGGGGAAACATTCAATTGTCACAAAATACCACCCAAAGCTATACTTTTTCAAAAATGTGGGGTTAACCACGGAATTGTTGTTCAAAATCAAAATATGTGTTTGTTTAACTCCATATTTTAGAAAAACTAGATGGGTGGCTGTTATTTTTTTAAAATTTATAACAATGGAATGTTTTTCAGAAGCACTAGGAACATGATGACCGCATTGGCAGGTGATCATGAGAAAACACATTCTCAAAAACATAAAAGACTACCAAATAATTCTACACCTACCCGTGTACTCTACGAAAATATGCTACATGTTTCCAACCTCTACATGTTTATTATCTAGAAAAATAAGCAATCTTAAAGATCTTCATGGCGATTTCAAAATGAGATATAACACTGAACGGAAATTGATAAGCTACAGGTGCCACTCTTACATCGTTTTAGAAATTAGTTGTGCATTTCTTCCCTGAAGAAATAGTATTACCATAAAAAACAAACAGTCAATCCATGATATTAAATTCATTGTAAATATATCCTTGGTCATAGTTATAGTACAACTTAAAGGTCGAGTGCCCGAAAATATTAACACAATAATTGAACATGTTGAACAACGAATATACTTTTTTGTGGCTTGGTTGAATGGCTACTAATCCCAAGTTCCGATGAAGTTCCCAAGAAGACGATAGAGTGACAAAGATTATGTCAAGCGGAGTTTATAATTTTTGTGCACATTTTCTTCTTGGATCGAAAGGGGACAGCATCTTTTCCATTCAATCGAGGTTGGGCCATGCAGCCGAAGGTAAGCCATACAACCGAATTTTGTCGATTCAATCTGACGGAGAATGCCGAGCCTCTCTTTTTGACAAATTACAAAATTAGAGACGTCCTCTTCACATTCGAGGTACCCTCGGCCACTTCGTTGGCAAAGAAAAACTTCGGCAATCTCCGGCTTTTTTTGAGGTATTAAAGTAGTGTAGCAGTGACAAAGATCATGAACTTTTTTAGAAGTGTCGCCATTTTTTAAATCAACAGTATTTAAAAATGCACTTTGTTAAGCATGTACATGCATGTCTAATGATCTCTGAACTTCAAATGCTTTTTTCTATGTGAGTTATTTTTTCTTGGTTCAATATTAAAGCAAATCAAACTTTGTGTCAGATTTGAGCGAGTGTGTAAGTAACATGTTTCAATGATTATTTTTTCCTTGAAATTAAGTATAGTGGGCCTTTAAAGTTGAAACCCAAAGCGCGTTGTTGGACGCATTATATTCTGATTGGTCAATGAAACGATGTCAAATGGTCAAATATATGATAATACAACGCGCGTAATTTACGTATAAACGGACGTAATTACTATTTGTGCTAACGCCCGTAAATCGATGCCCGCATTTTATGTATTTACGCACATAATTCACACATGTGAACAAACGAACTTAAAGGCCCACTTTGGGAATTTTCAACATTTTTTGGCAAAATAAAGACTTACATTTAAATTTCATAGTATGGCCAATGTATTGATAAGAACCTTATCTTTCATTTGACACCAACAACAGCTCAAATGGACCACATTAAAGCTTACATTTAGATTATCAAAAAATATTTTTGATCTGTCAAGTTTTTAAGATGGCGAAGATGTTTGTATTACATGATACATTCATTTTTATAGAAGTGTCGCCATCTTTTAAATCAATAGTAATTTAAATTAGCACTTTGTTTAACATGTGCATTCATGTCTAGTGATCTCTGAACTTCAAATGCTTTTTTCGATGTGAGTTATTTTTTTTCTTGGTCCAATATTAAAGCAAATCAAACTTTGTGTCATATTTGAGAAAGTGTGTGAGTAACATGTTTCAATGATTATTATTTTTTTCTCTTCTAAATTGAGTATAGTGTGCCTTTAATTTAACATAATTCATGAAATATTGTAAATGAAAAATGATATAAAACTCTAGTTTATAATAAGAAAAATAAAGATAAATTGGTTAAAAGTCAGAAGTCATAGAAAGCAGGATGAAAGGAACTTTTGAATTATCACCCTAATTTCCTTTAATTTTGAGGATAATAGTCTTGCTCAAAGACTATATCCACCCCCCCCCCGTCACCTTCACTCTCTTTACCTGGCAATATCAGTGCAGTTAAAACAAAAAGATGTGATGAGTATCAGAATACCATGAATTTACTCGATTGGGAAGTTCATGTTAAACTATCGTATTAGAAACCTTAAGAAGGATTGGCTCCCGGGATTGGCTCCCAGGGACGAAACTCGATATATTCCAACAATGAATTCGATCTTAGGGGATTTCGTGATTTATTTTGAATCACGAGTTTTTTCAAGAAGTAATCAGGATATTAGCTCGAATCTTTTGGATTACGGGTGATGATTTTATAACCAGTTTAATCAGAAGAAGTGAGTAGCTCCCATAATTCTTTCATATTCTATCGCATTCGGGGATTCCCCGTTTTAGATCTCCAATCAAATCGCAGGATGTGATCACGTGAACAATCATGACCACAAGCTTTCTCAGCGCCGCGCATGCGCAAGTGTCAAATGCGTAAAATTTGAAATCGTTGAAATGGCGTTTATTCCAGTTTAACATCAGTTCAACATCATCATTTCAAAACGACGGTAATACTATTGAAGTTACTCGATCCAAACTTTCAGAGAATACTCATAAAACAGAGGCGAACATTGAGAGATCCATTTCAATGGCAGTGAGGCCTGTTTAAAAAATTGGTTATCGAACGTGCCAAAAATGAAAGGTGATCTTTGGGAATTTCCCCCCTGCAGTTTAATGTCAGACAACAACGACATTCAGACATTTCTATTGTTGGAAAATATCGAGATTGCATTCTGGGAGCCAATCCACCTTGAGAATAAACATAGTGCACTTGAATCTTATGGAGTTTCAGTCACGTTAAAGACTTACAAAGCTAGACAAGACTTAAAATACAAGAAGTCACATGTTGATAATAGTACAATAACGTCATTTCAAAGGGCAATAATATAGTGAAAGATTGGACCGAGGGCAGGCCGGTCCAATATTTTACTATATTGCCCGCAGAAATGACGTTATTAGTATTATTACCACCGTTAATGACCAGGACTGAAACAGCAAGAAAATCTTGCGCACTGATCGATATCTAATTTCCCGGGGAACATTGCCGGTCATTAATTGCATTCTTGACCGGCAATATTGACCGCCACTATGACGTCACATATTGCTCAGGGCGATATAGTAAAATGAATTCCTTCTAGACTAGCAATAGAACCCCTAGAACTGGCCCGGCAAGGAGGTAATAATTATAATTTTTACATCCACTTTTCATTTTTGGATATGTCAACTGAATTTGGTAATTAGGTAGTTAGTGAAATCAAAGTCATTAAACATGACAGTGTTATTAGGTAATTAGGTAGTTAGTGAAATCAAAGTCATTAAACGTGACAGTGTTACTTTAAATAAGTAGTCTATACTTACGTATATCTGATTTTATCAAAGCAAAAGAAACATACATTTTTAGCGATATTAATAACATTTCATTTGAAATGTGAAAAGCTGGTTGGTTCATCAATGAAGACAGTGTTCTTTATTCTATATCAAAAGGATAAACTGGCAAATTAAAACGGAGACAATTTAATATTTCTTGAAATAAGCTAATCTCAAGTTTTACAATAATTTATATGAACTTTGTTTGACTTATTAATAAGTGTGGTAATACTCACATCCAACTAAAGACAGAACCGGTATTGCAGCAGGATCCAGTCAGAGGCGTGGGTAAATATAAAAACAAAAAGCATTATTTTAATGATTGTCTTGGATTGTTCATGCAAGCATTGATGATCAAATTGGCAGGAAAGAATCTTCCCGGACCCCAAAAACATGGAAGATTCCAAAATAGCAATCGAGTATGGCAAAGGGGTGTAATCTATTCAACATTTTCAATTATTGTGTAACACCTCAACTCTACTTGTTGCCTCTTTAAAGGCACCATGTAAACGTTGTACCAATTTTGTTTATTTTATTGTCTTACTTATGTACATTTCTAATTTTGTGAATTATTTCAAAATGATATACTTGTTGTTTAGCGTTTGAGCAATCCAACAATGCATGGCGAATATCTTAATCTATTTTGAGTTGTAAATGAGGAAGTTTGATTGAGAAATAAGAGTATGAATTGAAATACAAGCGCAGATAGTGGTGCAGAGAAAATACATTTTAACGTTCAAATACTCGTTATAACCGTCGAAACATTGTGATACTTAGTTTTCTAAACCATGAACACATAGACTAATTGGATATTTCTTTGATTTTTAAAGTTTAGAATTAATTACAAAGGATACATAAAATATACAAAATGCATTTGCAATGCAATATAATTCAATGCAATACGCAGTATAAAACCATACAATTACAATGCAGTACAATAAAATACAATTACAATTCAATATAAATGATGCACTACAATAAATACATCGCGGCATGACCTGATGACAAATGACAAATTTTGAAATCGCTATGAAATCGAATATATGTTGAAAAATTTAACTATGGAATCGAATGGTTGAAATAAATTGAATGCTTTTTAGCCAATACAAATTCTGTTTGGATGATCTCATAAATATTCTTATGGTTTATTTTACATGGTTTTAATGAAAGCAAATATTGAAATAAAAAAATGAAAATGTTTTGATAAAATTGAATCGATTACGTCGCAGCCCCTATATAAATGTATATCTAACAAGCTCTCATTTAGTATGATTTTTCTAATATTTTAATTTGAATTGTTTAGAAAGAAAAACAGACACATAATTTTCTATATTTCAGGTATGGATAAACTATGAGTACTGGGTTTGAGGAAGAATAATAGCCGGGGGCCTTCTCCTAAGACCCAGTACGAATGGTTTATCTAACTAAACTTTTCCTTTGTATTGACTATGAGGCAAGTGTATTCAAAAGTGAGAGGGTGTAATTAGTTCATTAGTTGACAGGTTGTTCATTGTTGTTCATTAGTTGTTCATGTAATTAGTGGGTGTAATTAGCAGTCGATCATTTTTTGAATAGCTTGCCAAGACGTGTCAATTCTTTAAAAACAATAGAAAAAGAATGCACTCCTCTTTGTCACAACTGTACATTCTTTAAAATTAACTCCAGTGCATTCTATTGCGTTGCTACCTAACCGGGATTTGATTATTATTGAAAACAAAAATATGTTGTTGACGAAATTTAATTGGTTACTTTATAAAAACCGTTCCAGGCCCTGTATTTCTTACAGACTCTCATCACGTAGCTACAATTTTTATCATCTTTGAATTGAAAAAACTGAGAAAACACACGTATTTCTAGATTTATCCATATGAAAAACAAAATATGTAGCAACAGTCACAAAAACATATTTGTTGTGTTATTTTGCTTACCATCTAATGAAGACTATATTTGAATTGTTTAGTGAAAAACAGACAAATATAATTTAAGAGTGTAACAAAAATGTATTACCACATAAGTGTTGATTGAGATGTACTTCTTATCTCCTAGTTACTATCAAATAAATTCATCATAAGAATTTTAGAAATTAGCACATTTTGATTCAAGTAATTTGTACTTTATATTTTCGGGTTGACAACACACGCTCGGGGAACCATTTCCATGTATGCGAAGCCTACAAGGAAAGTCAGATACCCTGCACATGCAATTGCACATGATTCATGCACTTACCAGTTGTTCCAAAGCAAGACCAGTTCCATGCGCTGTTGTATACGCGTAGAGGTTGCATATTGTATTGAATTGCATTGTATTGTATTATATTGTATTGTAAATATTGTATTGTATTTAACGAACCGTACCATATACTGCACATTGTACTCTAAACATTGTACATTAAAACCTGTAAAATTGAACACCTCCTTAAGTGCAAGATCTTCATAAGTGGAAGGCTTTTCAAAGACCTATAAAATATTGACTTATAAATGAACCTGTATAAGTGGAACACCTCCCAAGATGAACACTTTTTAGAGGTGCCAAAGATGTTCCACTTACACAGGTTTTACTGTATTGTATTGCATTGTACCGTACATGCAATTGCATTGCTTGCTGCACCTTGCATGGGATTGCATTGTATTGTCACGTATTGTGAGCTATTATATAAATGTAATATGAAACGCTTTTGGTTATTTTCAGTATTGAATATACTTACAATCTTAATGTTCAAGCAGACATTCATAAGATGTTCCATCAAAGGGATCATTCGAGTATCACGCAAAACCATATACGCAGAAGCAAAAGAATAAAAATCAAATGTTATTAGATACATTTATATTGAAGTCAGATGATTTTAGCGATGGCAACAAATTATGAAATAGGAAGAAAGCTATAATCTGAAGATTTAGATTTAGGTGCTTGATGTTTACATCACATTTAGTTACTCTTTAAGTCGAACTATACACTCCCTGTTTAATTGATATTAAATTAAACACATTCTAAAAGCAATTAAATTGATTCCCAGGTTGTATATGTACTTACCGGCTTTTATGATGACAAAATCGGAAGACGAGAGAACAGGTTATGAAAAAGAGTAGAAAACGAAATTAATATATTTGGTACATGTGTTCGTTTATCGTACTGTTTGACAAGTAAGAAACCACACATGCGATTCAAATTTAAATCATAGATTACTTCAGATTCTGACTTGTAGGTGGATGTCTCCTACGTACAATTTCATATGTGGGAACCAAACTATGTTTTCTTTGCGAACTTTACTATACTGGTTGATTTGAAGAACTTGCCACTAACTAATCATATCAAATGCAAACAATAAATAAGACATGCGTTAAGTCTAGCCTATTTAGTAACTATTTACCCCCTTATGCCATGCGCAGGATTTGGTGGTGTTAATGGTAAACGTTTTATTGCATCGAGAACACAGTGGAGCCATCGGACTTTGCGCAAACGGTGAGGGAGTTGGATCAAATTCTCCTCTGTCAAACTGTGCATATGTATCCATAGCCAAGTAGTCGTCGCCGTCTTTTGCTGTATGGAGACTATTGTTAGACCCAATAATCATTTCAAGGTACATTTCGTCATCTTGTTTTAAGTGCTCTCGATCTGATTCAATATAGCTTTGAAGTAATGGTTTATCGCTTTTGTCGGCAAGCGCCCTTGGCGATCTGCGAGGACTTCTCCTCGGGCTAGCTCCCGATCGCCGCAGTCGCGGAGACTGTCGATCAGATTCATCACCACGAGGGCACGTTTTCTGGTGTTCTCGTTTCATCTCGTTCTGCTGTTTTAGCATTTCTTCTTGTTTGAGCTCCATCCGATGCTTCCGTACATTTGCTGATATAGTCCTTGCATTCTGAACTAGTTCTTGTTTTAGTTTCTTTTCGAAACAGCCCGTCACTTTTTGGTGTGTGAACAGGTCAAGATATTGCGTCTTATGGTCGCATGCTTCACAGGTAACGTATCTATACCGACACGTACGTATATGGTCATCTAGTTGCTTTCGCTTTACGAATATTTTACAACCAATTGAGATATTGGGGCATGTTGTCTTTACACTCGGACATTTTAAATTCAGATGTTCATCCCTGTCGCCTAAAAGGCCAATATGGCCACATTTAAAACTACAACGCATCTCTAATTTGTTATATTTCTCATAGAATCCATCAGATGGCACTTTAGTCACTTTGGACATCCGGGAACTGCATATGGGGCATTCACGTTTCTTGGTGATGAGTCGCTTCAAAATACAAGTGTTGCAGAAAATGTGCTTACAAGACGTTTCCACAGGCTTGTCGAATATATCTAGACATATGTAACAAATGAAATCCTCGACATCTCCACTGACGCAAAAGTTCTGCGAAATGCCCATGGTATCCAATGCTTGTAATATCCTTTGTACAATCTATTTTTCTAAAATAATTGTTCAATGTACCAGAAATAGTCGGCACTTCTAACTTGTCTTGTTCAACAATATCTTATGTTTTGAGGTCTTCCGCACTATATATTGTCATATCCTGTATACACGAATGTAGCATTCCATTTTCCGTATTCCAGTTTGTCTAATTGACATTTCTTCCGATAGTGATGTTAAATCAGGTCACTGTCTATTTTATTGGCTATCTGTTCTTTGTTCTCCGGTGATATGTTTCCCTAATGGCAAGCAGTGGGTATTGTTCTATAATTCTAAAAATGGCATGTTCTATGCCATTTGTACCATTACTTGAATACTTCGTTGAATCCAATATGCGTATACACCGACCAGTTAGTGTTTCTAAGTAGAAGACTTTCTTAAGATATATTACGATTATTTTCAACCAGTTAAAAGAAATCCATTGAGCAAACTCTAACAAATCAAGGACTTATCTTAATCCTATAGAAACCTCTACAAATGCATTCACTGATAGTTTAAACACATTACGGCATTTTGACTTTTGTGAAGAATAGGATTAGGCTTAGACTATGAAACCAGTACTCAGTGTATATAAATTGGGGTGACCTTAGATGTGCAAAGCCTAAAATGGATTTTCCGAATAGTCATGACAGGTTGAAAATTTCTATGGTTAAAAAGATATTTTATTCATCTTAGTATGTAGCAACGAGGTCGATAATGTCCTTCCTGCCTTCCAATAGATACTAGGTATACAATAGGACCCATGTAGTCGTGTATTGAATACATGTAGGGTTGAAGGTTAACTCAATTACAGGGTCGCCCAAAAAATTGAAACCCTGCATTTTCCTCATATCTTTGTCATTTTAGGTAATTATTCCCTGGCATTTGACACATTTGTACAACATTCAATTTCCTACCAGCTAAACATATTTCATGACCATCAGATTGATAGTCACAAGGGTACAGCACTTTGAAAAAGATGCCCCAGTGTGGTCACCATCGCGCTATTGGCAAATCTGAAGAGGCTGTCAATGATCTGACTACATTTTTCAGCAGGTATGGCCTCAATGACATGGATGGTCTTCTTTTTGAGGTCTGTAGTTGTCCCGAGGTTATTCTCGCACACTATTTTTGTGTATCACCACAGGTTGAAGTTAGGTAGGGACATTTTATATGATGAGTGCAGGTTTGCCGTAAGTTTGCCACTGGAGAATGTTGTTTAAAGTGCTGTAACATTGTGACTATCAATTCGAAGGTAGGCCGGTAGGAAATTGCATGATGTACAAATGTGCCATGCAAATATCAGGGAGTAATCGTCTAAAACTCAATCATCTTTTGTGCCACAAGTGTAGTTTAATAAGCAACAAAATATCAAAAACTTGGCTGCTATGATAAGAGTTTTTCAAATTCTTAGTTTGTCCAACGAGTGGTGTAGTCTTGCTACAAGGCTCTGTACTATCTAATCTAACAACTGTGTCACAAAGGCTTGAGCAAGACTACGAGAAGTGCAACTGAAATCGTAACCGAAAACTCCCACCCACCTACTATACTATACTAGTATGACTGCAGTTGATTCACCATGCAAAAAGTATTAATTTTAGTAATGACCGCACCCCCTTGAAGAAAGGTATTTGACGGGGATGAATGACAAGAACAAAATATTAAAAAAGCTCAAAAATGGCTGCAGGAATACAGACGTGACACTATTCAAAGTATGAAGAAAAGAAATGATCGCGACGAGTGCGTTTTCTGGAAATCATTTTGAAGAATTCAAAGCTGATCTCCGCATCTTATCTTCTCAATAACGACACTATTTGAAAATATGTCGCGTAACATTATCGAGTGGAAAATATTACTTAGTATATTATCAACAATCGTGACAATACGATATTTAATACGATATGTCTAAGACAATTTCTCAAGTATCACGTTATGTTACAAACAATTTCTAGTCACTCAGACTCCCCTTGTGCTAAAATATAAATCTCCGCTATATGGCATACTATGACAGATAAATATGATAGCCATTCTTAAAGTTTAAAACACTTCAAAAAGTTAATTTGTTCGAATAATGCGAATTTATTACAAATACAGGGTGTTCCAAAAGAAACAGGACTGGTGCTGGAATTTTGTTAAATATGCAACAAACATCTTCAAAATTTTACATAATGTACTTTCATGTATCGTTACTAAGACTGCAAAGTTTCGACAAAATATATTAAACTTGGGTAGAGTTATGGTTGCTATAGTAACATGACATCACAATACCCGGGGCAACATTCCATGCAAAAAGTTACAGAGACATTAAGCATTTTGTACATGTCATATCATTTTGTACATGCCATTTCAAAGTTGAAATGCAACAACTGGTGGGAATTATATTTCCTATGTATCCTCTACTTTGAAAAAAGGCTCCCCTTTGGTCAGTACAAGAGTAGTACTCTGTATCCATGACCCAAACACATGAGTGAACCCATTTGAGGACATGTCACGCAGGGTCGATTGTAGTTCAACGTCGTTAAACTCAATAACGGCGTTCTTTATTATTAGGAATTTTCTTGGGGCCGTTATTGAGTTTAACCTCCTTACTATTCTTTCCTTTGATGCAAGTTCGGAATCCATCGAAACCATTTTTCCGCGATAACGTGCAACTGATACTTGACAATAATATAAAAACACATAACATCAAGCGATTTAACACAATATTTTTGTGTTAAATGTTCATTTATACGAGTAAAATGAGGCTACACTTACCAATCTCTAAAGTGACATTCCGCATGTCCGTCATTGTGTCTGTTCGTCTGAGTGTCCCGGATCGTAAAATTAAACTACCAGCGAAACGAAATTGTTGTCAAATAGATTGATAATTATTATCGCGATTACTCGGGATAAAAAGATCAATTTTGAGGATAACAGGTATCTTTGATTAATTTATATAGCGCGTGTATACGCGCAAAATAGTTATTAATTGCAAACCCACTGTTCGTTAATGCAGTGCCGTGATGACGGTTAATTCCTGAAACGATTTGCAATTTCGATGTTACCGAAACTGACCGACATTTTCGTCATTTCCAAACCTGTCTCCAATATTTTCGTAATTATGCATCAATAGGGTCTAAGGGGGATACGGGACGGGGTGTATGTGTTTATAAGGTATGTATGCATGTTTGAATCACATTCTTTGTGTAATATTGCCATGTTTTCAGGGTTTAATTTGTTCCGCTTGTCGAAACCTGCTGAACGATTAAATTAACGCATCAAAGGCAAAATGGTCATGGAGGTTAGACCTAGCCGGGCCATAACACATGTCAGATAAGAAACGAGGCCCGGGCTAGGTCTAATGTTGTTGGACTAGGTCGATTGGACAATTTAGAGAAGGTCATTCTATTCTTTAAAGGTCTTACAGCACTGATTATGATTCCGTTCTCAATATAAGTAAAAATTAGATAATGCATGAGGAGTATGGTGCATGGTTTTAGACCTCAAGACCTGGCTCCTCTATAGCTGCATGGTCTTTAATGGTGACCTGCGGGCAGGCGCGCTACCAAGGTAGATGACTGGCTTCAAATTGGGTATCTTCAAAAACTCAACCGTGAATTGTTCAGACTGTTGTACATAGTGATATTCCAGGAAATTGAATAAATATTATTATCATTATGAGATTATACTTGAATCTGAGTTGTATAGCAACACCTTCACAACAAAGGAACTAATAAAATAAACAAGAAATTTTGTATTATAATAGGTGAATTAGATACTTTATTCAGTGATACAAAAATGTTAAATATCACATTTTCAGGAAAAATGTTGCCCTGGGTATTGGAATGTCATATTACTATAGTAACCATAACACTAATCACATTTCATCATTTTTTCTGAAACTTTATAATTTAAGTTGCAATACTTAAAGTACAATTTGTGAAAACTTGAAGATACTCCGTGCAAAATTGACAAAATGCCAGCACCAGTCCTGTTACATTTGTAACACGCTGTAAGATCTTAATTGTCACGCACATACATTTTTAGGCATTATGTTTTTGATTACGTTACGATTCTCATTGGATCCAATGGTGCATTGATATTATGAAATGATAAAAAATCATTTTCGACATAGATGGGCCAGCACTATTATTGAAAGTTTTACATAGATCAAAACATATTGTGCGACATTTTTGGAAAAGGTGACACTACGGCGTATCCTCGAGACATCAATGCTTTTAAAAGTGTTTCAAAAGTTCATACAAATCATAGATTGAATGGTTAACATAATATAACTGTAGACTGATCTATTCAACTATTAAAGTGGCGGAAAATTCAAATATTTTTTTTCAGAAGTCACATTTTCCCAAAACGACTCAAATATAGTTTTCAAGTCATGAATTAAAAAGAAAGTTTTGAATGAATGATTAAACTATATTTTCAAACTTTGCACAGTAGGAAACAAGGATAATGAGAAAAGTGAATTAGTCCAAAGACATACTTTTAATTTGTTACTAATTGTATCATGTATCAATCGATAATTTCTAATTTGACCTCATTTGAAAACAATTAATTCAAACTAATGTCATAAAAATTCACCCGATTAGTTTTAATTAGTTTACAATTAATACATGGTTTAAATTTCAATAGCCAACATAACGTAGGGGAAAGAGCTAGATAATGACAGAACAGCTAGCTACATTGAGTAAAACAGAGCCGCACCATAAACATGTTGACAAATTGAATGAGTCGAAAATGCACAACTCTACAGAGAATGAACAGTGCAATATGCGTCATACTCCGCAACCATGTCAACGAGATGTGGGGTTATCTCGGAACAAGGCGTATCTCGGTATGCATGTTAGTGGTTAGTCAGGTCTTAATCCACGGGTAATATCTAAAGCCCCGCTATGATTGAAAAATCGCGAGCAAGTCCCCGCTGAAATCGCGAGCATAGTCCTGTTTATTTGTATCACTTTGGAAAATGAACCAAAAGGATGAAAATACTTATTACCGTTCTTTGATACTCCAGCAAAACTTTGAAAACAGATATATTTGACAAAAAATGACATGAAAAATGATTATTTTTTACTTGCATGAAGGAAAGGGGCGTCAACATGCACGTTTGCATAATTTACTGTTCATATATTACCTTTATCGTTAAAATAAAGGCAATAAATACGATTTACATACTCCATAATAAATATCGGATCAATATGGTCTGTATTGATAAGTTACTGGACAATGACACCTGCAATGGGGGTCGAAATACATCATTAAAGGTGTTCCTGTAGCCCCGCTGAAAAAATGAGGAGGCCCCGCTGAAAACATGAGGAGACCCCGCTGAAAACACGAGCAAATTTCACGACTACCCGCTTCGATCACGAGGAAAGCTTCATCATTATTCCATGAATATAGTGAACTTCTTTATATGAACGTACACGAATGTGCAAATAACGTATTAATGACAATCACATAACATATCATTCTATGGCAACATCAAAAATATTTCTTCTTCAACTTCAGGCAGTCTAATCCATCTGTCAGCGGCATGATCAAATTTTTATATGTAAATAGACTTTGTACATTTCGGAGTTAAATGTACATTCTACATAATTAACTATTCCAAGGATTATACTTCTGAGGACAAATATATTTCATTGGTTTCTTTGTCCGACCGTTCATTCGTGCGTGCATTCGACCGACCGTTCGTTCGTGCGTGCGTTCGTCCGACGGTCCGTTCGTTCATGCGTGCGTTCATCCGACAGATTGATTGTTCGTGCGTGCATCGCCCAATCATGCGTTCGTGGCAGCGTTCGTCCGACCGTCCATTCGTTCGTTCGTGCGTGCATCCGTGCGATTGTCCATCCGTTTGTGTGCGCATGCGTTCGTCTGACCGTCCGTTTGTGCTTGCTTTCATCTGACTGCCCTTTCGTTCGTGGGTTCGTCCGTCTAGCCGTCCGTTCGTCCGTGCGTGCTTTCGTTCAACCGTCCATTCATGCGTGCGTTCGTCTGTTCGTTCTTTTTGCGTTCGTTTGTGTGTTCGTTCGTTCGTGCGTTCATTCGTGCGTTCGTTTGTAACTACGTTCTTGCGTGCGTGGGTTCGATCTTTTGTAAATTGTTTTCTTCTATCTTTCCTTCATGCGTTCTTTTGGCCGCCTATCCGTCCGTTTGTTCATTCATTGTTTTTTCGGCTGTTCTTCTGTCCATCCTTGCGTTCTTTCCTCGTTCGTTTGTTCGTTTGCAGGTTTTCATCAAAATTTGTCTTTCCACTGCCATAAGAATGTAAATAATCAAGAAAGCAAGCAAGGATGTGAGGAAGTAAACAAGCAACGAAGTAAGTAATTGAGTTAGCAAGCAAGTAAAGAAGGGATGGAGGAAGTAAATCGAAGAAGTGAAGGTGGGAGTAATATAAGTAAGCAAGGAAGGAAAAAAAGGAAGGAAGGAGGGAAGGAAAGAAGCAATGAAGCAAGGAAGGAAGGAAGAAAGGAAGGAAGTGAGGAAGAAATTTGTGAAGGAAGCGAGGAAGCAAAGAAGGGGGAAAGAAGGGAGCGAGGAAGGAAAAAAGCAAGGACGGAAAGAGGGAAACGAGGAAAGAAGGAAGCGAGGAAGCAAGGTAGGAAGTGAGGAAGGAAAGATTCCAAGGAAGGAAGGACGCAAGGAAGCAAAGAAGGAAGGAAGGAAGCAAGGAAGCAAGAAAACGAGGAAGCGAGGAGGGAAGAAAGTGAGGAAGCAAGGAAGGAAGGAACTGAGGAAGAAAGAAAGGACGGAAGCGAGGGAACAAGGAAGGAACGATGCGAGGAAGGAAGGAAGGAACTGAGGAAGCAAGGAAGGGAACGAGGAAGAAAGGAAGCCAGGAAGCAAAGAAGGAAGGAAACTATGAATCAAGGAAGGAAGGAAGCAAGCAAAGACGCAAGAAAGGAAGGAAGGAAAAAAGCAAGGAAGGAAGTAAGTAAGGAAAGAAGGCGAGAAAGCAAGGAGGGAAGGAAGTAAGGAAGGAATGAAGCGACAAAAGAACAACGCGAGGAAAGAATGAAGGGAACGAGGAAGCAAGGAAGGAGGAAAGAAGGAAGTGAGGAAGGGAGGAAGCAAGGAATGAAGGAGGGAAGTGAGGAAGGAAGGAAGCGAGGAAGGAAGGAAGGAAAGAAGGAAGCGAGGAAGCCAGGAAGAAAGCAAGCGAGGAAGCATGGAAGGAAGGAATGAAGCAAGGAAGGAAGGAGGAAAGGAAGTGAGGAAGAAATTTATGAAGAAAGCGAGGAAACAAAGGAGGAAAGAAGGGAGCGAGGAAGGAAAAAAGCATGGAAGGAAAGATGCTAGGAAGGAAGGAAGCGAGGAAGGAAGGAAGCGAGGAAGCAAGGTAGGAAGGAAGCGAGGAAGGAAAGATGCGAGGACGGGAGGAAGCGAGGAAGCAAGGAAGGAAGGAAGCAAGAAAAGAAGGGGTGAGGAAGGAAGGAATGAAGCAAGGAGGGAAGGAAGGAAGTGATGAAAGAGAGAGGCGAGGAAGCAAGGAAGGAATGAAGCGAGGGAGGAAGGAAGCGAGGAAGCAAGGTGGGAAGCAAGCGAGGAAGGAAAGATGCGAGGAAGGAAGGAAGCAAAGAAGGAAGGAAGCAAGAAAAGAAGAGTCGGAGAAGAAAGGAAGGTAGGAAGCGAGGAAGGAAAGAAGCAAGGAAGGAAGGAAGCGAGGAAGGAAAGAAGCGAGGAAGCAAGGAAGGAAGGAAGCAAGGAGGGAAAGAAGCAAGGGAGGGAGGAAGCAAGGAAAGGAGGAAGCAAGGAAGGAAGGATGCGAGGAAGGAAGTAAGCGAGGAAGCAATGAAGGAAGGAAGCAAGGAAGGAACGAAGCGAGGAAGGAAGGATGCAAGGAAGCGAAGAAGGAAGGAAGTGAGGAAGCAAGGAAGGGAGGATGCAAGAAACGAAGGAAGGAAGCAAGGATGGAAGGAAGGAAGCGAGGAAGGAAGGATGCAAGAATGCGAGGAAGCAAGGAAGGAAGGAAGCGAGGAAGGAAGCGAGAAGGGAATATCGACTTGTACTCAAAGATGGAACAGAGGGGACAGTTGCAATACAGAGAATACAGAATATCTTATATTACTTCAAATTATGAAAATGAGGTTAAATGTTTAACATTTCGTCCGATCTAATACTCATCACATTTCTCAGATGATCTTTCTTATTCTGTAAAATGGCATGGAAATATGATACTGCAGTTTTCTTGGTGAAATCGATAAAATAATATATAAAAAGTTGTTTTATTTTCGGATATTTGTGTAAAAAGATGCGTAATAATACAGTATTTCCATTCAGTATTGTAATTATTATATTATATTATGAAGGAAAAAAATATAATCAGCATAATATACTACATTATATAGAGATTAATATAATATAATTAGAAATAAGTGGGATCCAAATATATTATTTGTACATATAAACATTTACCAAATCCGATTATCTCAATAAGAAAATGTAGCAGAATGTTTTATTCCCAATATAATATTCTTTTTTAGAATTATTTGCGCCAATTTATTTTTATTCTGTCTTTCTAAAATATTATTTGGTCATATTTATCAATCCAAACTGATGATTGCAGTCTATTTAGATTTTTTCCATTCTAAAAAATATTATTTTCTAGTATTTTCCAATCTAAGCAGAATATATCAAATTATATTGTATTATTTGGGTTCTAAAAAATATTATACTCGATTATTCTCGTCCAACTTGATGTACAATCCATCTGGTTAATTACTTAACCAAACAAAACAAAGAATGCACAGCATGGCAGTTAATAGGATTAACCGTTCTACTGGCCTTCTCATCTCTATTACTTACACATGTCACACATATTTTATTTTGACTGTTCTATTTCTGTTTGAAAAATATTTACAAATAAATGTTTAGAAGAAAGAAATTTAACTTGTTTTAAATTAATGTTAACAATGGAGTAAAAATGTGAAAAAGTCATCAATTAAAAATCAAATAATTAACTTTCCAATGAGTTAATCGATTCAATCCAAATTTTAACACAATGTTAATCATAGAAAGAGGGATTTTATACAATTAAACAAATATGAAAAACTTAATTTGCAAATTATTATTTTTGTGGAAAATAAAACAATCGGCTCTAGATATTAATCCATTCACTCTAACAAACGGATTAACTCTAACAATCGGATTAGTTATCAATGAACAAAACTCATTTCATAGAAATTAAAAAAACTTAGAGATTATAGTATTACTTATATTGCTCTGTCATCAATACATGTACATGTATGTGAATGGTGAAAATCTTCATGATTTTGAAAGAATTGTTGGCCAAGGGGAGGGGATCGTTACTCGTTAGGTACGGACCTGTATAAAATGCGTAATGTTTTTAGCTAAAATTTGAGTAGCTCTGTGTCAAGACTATTTTTGTGGCAGAGTGAATACGGGTGGTTGTTTGTGCCTGTGTAAGAGTGGCCTTTAAATGTTGTTTGTTGTTAACTTTATATGGCAGAGAAACAATGGAGTAAAAATGTGAGGAAACCCATTGATTAAAAATTAACTTTCCGTTGAGTCAATCCATTTAATCCAAATTTTAACACAATGTTAATCATAACATAAGGGACATTATACAATCAAATAAATATGAAAAACTTGGTTTTAAATTATTTTTTGTGGAACTTAGAACTGTTGGCTGTAGGAAATTAATCCATCGCCTCTAACAAACGGATTAGCTTTCAGTGTTAACAAAACTCATATTAAAGAAATTGAATAATTGGGGATTAAAGTTTTACTTATCATATTGCTCTGACATACATGTACTGTATGTCAACATGTTATTTACATCAGTTTGTTCTACCATGCACCAATTTGCTCAAAGCGTAATCATCGCTATGTCAGATGAAACATTAGGAATAAATGTAAAATGTGCCCGCTTCTTTATTTTCATTATCAAACAACTAAACATACCGAATATAAATTTGGAAATGGAAAACAAAAAATTAATTAAAACCAGCTTTAATTAAAATGGTCCAATTGTAGTAGAAACAAATGTATTACATCATGGACTAATCTGTTGTTTATATCCCCAGTTTATATCTCAGATATATGGATAACAGAAAACGCATGAATTGTGAAATGTGAGTGAATACACGTTTTAATTTTGTTTTAGCATGGCTTAACACCACTTGTATCAGTTAACCTAATGTACCTTTCTTATTTATTATCAGCGATTTGCCAGAAGAAATCGGAGCAATACATGTACATCCAATATAATACAGGCTCGGAAGAAGTTTTAGCCCAGGGGATCAATTTTCAAAACAAACCAAGGGGTCACAATTGATCATTTTGGCCCGAAATCACTTAACAGTGCTCAGATTGGTAAAAAATGTAGGATTTTGAAAGAATTTTGGCAAGGGGGGGATTTACTTGAACCCCCCTCCCCCTCTCCCTGGCCATGGACCTATACCAAATTCGTAATGTATTGATATATAGCAGTTTCGTGTCATAAATGTTTTGTGTTGTTTGTGAAGTGATTAAAGGTGTTTGTGTCTGTGTAAGAGGGGGCTTTAAGTGTTGTTTGTTGTAAACTTAATTTGACAGAAAAACGATTGAGTTAAATTGTGAGGAAACCCAATAGAGTAAAAATGTGAGGAAACCCATTGATTAAAAATTAACTTTCCGTTGAGTCAATCAATTAAATCCAAATTTTAACACAATGTTAATCATAACATAAGGGACATTATACAATCAAATCAATATGAAAAACTTAATTTGCAATTTATTTTTCAGTAGAAATTAGAACCATTGGCTGTGGAAATTAATCCATTAACTCAAACAAACAGATTATTTATCAGTGTGAACAAAACTCAAATCATGGAAATTGAATAATTAGGGATTAAAGTTTGACTTATTATATTGCTCTGGAATGTCAATACATGTATGTGAATGGTGAAAAACTACATGATTTTGACAGAATTGTTGGCCACGGGGAGGGGGTCCTCAGCTACGGGTCTGTATAAAATGCGTAATGTGTTTATTGAATATTGAGCAGTTCCCTGTCATGACTATTTTTCCGGTTGGCAAAGTGAATACAGGTGGTTGTTTGTACCTGTGTAAGAGGGGATCGATTTAAATGTTGTTTGCTATAAACTTAATGTGACAGAGAAACAATGGATTAAAAATGTGAGGAAAACAAATTAATTAAAAATTCAAAAATTAACTTTACAATGAATTAATTGATTGAATCAAAAATTTAACACAATGTTAATCATAACATGAGGGACATTATACAATCAAATATGTATGTAAAAACTTATTTTGCAAATTATTTTTGTGGAATTAAGAGCCATCAGCTGTAGAGATTAATCCATTAACCCTAACAAACAGATTAATTATCAGTATGAATGAAACTCATTTCATAGGAATTGAATAATTAGGGATTAACAGCTCGAAAATAACCGCGTATAATAGGTTTTTGATTGCAAATGCCAACATATTATTTGCTCCTGACAGGAATATTATTCTATATTATTTGGCATTATATGTTGTTCCCTTTAAATAATACACGAATAATATTATTAAATCAAAAATAATTCTTAAAAATACGTATTATATTTTTTTCCGTTATAATAAAAGAAATAACTGCCTATTATACAGGAAAAAATATTCTCTACGATTCTCTCTTAATGCAACATATTTAGCAGTATATTAAACATTTTATTCTATATTATTTTTACTTTTTTACCAAGTGTTAACACAATATTTTTGTGTTAAATGTTCATTTATACGAGTAAAATGAGGCTACACTTACCAATCTCTAAAGTGACATTCCGCATGTCCGTCATTGTGTCTGTTCGTCTGAGTGTCCCGGATCGTAAAATTAAACTACCAGCGAAACGAAATTGTTGTCAAATAGATTGATAATTATTATCGCGATTACTCGGGATAAAAAGATCAATTTTGAGGATAACAGGTATCTTTGATTAATTTATATAGCGCGTGTATACGCGCAAAATAGTTATTAATTGCAAACCCACTGTTCGTTAATGCAGTGCCGTGATGACGGTTAATTCCTGAAACGATTTGCAATTTCGATGTTACCGAAACTGACCGACATTTTCGTCATTTCCAAACCTGTCTCCAATATTTTCGTAATTATGCATCAATAGGGTCTAAGGGGGATACGGGACGGGGTGTATGTGTTTATAAGGTATGTATGCATGTTTGAATCACATTCTTTGTGTAATATTGCCATGTTTTCAGGGTTTAATTTGTTCCGCTTGTCGAAACCTGCTGAACGATTAAATTAACGCATCAAAGGCAAAATGGTCATGGAGGTTAGACCTAGCCGGGCCATAACACATGTCAGATAAGAAACGAGGCCCGGGCTAGGTCTAATGTTGTTGGACTAGGTCGATTGGACAATTTAGAGAAGGTCATTCTATTCTTTAAAGGTCTTACAGCACTGATTATGATTCCGTTCTCAATATAAGTAAAAATTAGATAATGCATGAGGAGTATGGTGCATGGTTTTAGACCTCAAGACCTGGCTCCTCTATAGCTGCATGGTCTTTAATGGTGACCTGCGGGCAGGCGCGCTACCAAGGTAGATGACTGGCTTCAAATTGGGTATCTTCAAAAACTCAACCGTGAATTGTTCAGACTGTTGTACATAGTGATATTCCAGGAAATTGAATAAATATTATTATCATTATGAGATTATACTTGAATCTGAGTTGTATAGCAACACCTTCACAACAAAGGAACTAATAAAATAAACAAGAAATTTTGTATTATAATAGGTGAATTAGATACTTTATTCAGTGATACAAAAATGTTAAATATCACATTTTCAGGAAAAATGTTGCCCTGGGTATTGGAATGTCATATTACTATAGTAACCATAACACTAATCACATTTCATCATTTTTTCTGAAACTTTATAATTTAAGTTGCAATACTTAAAGTACAATTTGTGAAAACTTGAAGATACTCCGTGCAAAATTGACAAAATGCCAGCACCAGTCCTGTTACATTTGTAACACGCTGTAAGATCTTAATTGTCACGCACATACATTTTTAGGCATTATGTTTTTGATTACGTTACGATTCTCATTGGATCCAATGGTGCATTGATATTATGAAATGATAAAAAATCATTTTCGACATAGATGGGCCAGCACTATTATTGAAAGTTTTACATAGATCAAAACATATTGTGCGACATTTTTGGAAAAGGTGACACTACGGCGTATCCTCGAGACATCAATGCTTTTAAAAGTGTTTCAAAAGTTCATACAAATCATAGATTGAATGGTTAACATAATATAACTGTAGACTGATCTATTCAACTATTAAAGTGGCGGAAAATTCAAATATTTTTTTTCAGAAGTCACATTTTCCCAAAACGACTCAAATATAGTTTTCAAGTCATGAATTAAAAAGAAAGTTTTGAATGAATGATTAAACTATATTTTCAAACTTTGCACAGTAGGAAACAAGGATAATGAGAAAAGTGAATTAGTCCAAAGACATACTTTTAATTTGTTACTAATTGTATCATGTATCAATCGATAATTTCTAATTTGACCTCATTTGAAAACAATTAATTCAAACTAATGTCATAAAAATTCACCCGATTAGTTTTAATTAGTTTACAATTAATACATGGTTTAAATTTCAATAGCCAACATAACGTAGGGGAAAGAGCTAGATAATGACAGAACAGCTAGCTACATTGAGTAAAACAGAGCCGCACCATAAACATGTTGACAAATTGAATGAGTCGAAAATGCACAACTCTACAGAGAATGAACAGTGCAATATGCGTCATACTCCGCAACCATGTCAACGAGATGTGAGGTTATCTCGGAACAAGGCGTATCTCGGTATGCATGTTAGTGGTTAGTCAGGTCTTAATCCACGGGTAATATCTAAAGCCCCGCTATGATTGAAAAATCGCGAGCAAGTCCCCGCTGAAATCGCGAGCATAGTCCTGTTTATTTGTATCACTTTGGAAAATGAACCAAAAGGATGAAAATACTTATTACCGTTCTTTGATACTCCAGCAAAACTTTGAAAACAGATATATTTGACAAAAAATGACATGAAAAATGATTATTTTTTACTTGCATGAAGGAAAGGGGCGTCAACATGCACGTTTGCATAATTTACTGTTCATATATTACCTTTATCGTTAAAATAAAGGCAATAAATACGATTTACATACTCCATAATAAATATCGGATCAATATGGTCTGTATTGATAAGTTACTGGACAATGACACCTGCCATGGGGGTCGAAATACATCATTAAAGGTGTTCCTGTGGCCCCGCTGAAAAAAATGAGGAGGCCCCGCTGAAAACATGAGGAGACCCCGCTGAAAACACGAGCAAATTTCACGACTACCCGCTTCGATCACGAGGAAAGCTTCATCATTATTCCATGAATATAGTGAACTTCTTTATATGAACGTACACGAATGTGCAAATAACGTATTAATGACAATCACATAACATATCATTCTATGGCAACATCAAAAATATTTCTTCTTCAACTTCAGGCAGTCTAATCCATCTGTCAGCGGCATGATCAAATTTTTATATGTAAATAGACTTTGTACATTTCGGAGTTAAATGTACATTCTACATAATTAACTATTCCAAGGATTATACTTCTGAGGACAAATATATTTCATTGGTTTCTTTGTCCGACCGTTCATTCGTACGTGCATTCGACCGACCGTTCGTTCGTGCGTGCGTTCGTCCGACGGTCCGTTCGTTCATGCGTGCGTTCATCCGACAGATTGATTGTTCGTGCGTGCATCGCCCAATCATGCGTTCGTGGCAGCGTTCGTCCGACCGTCCATTCGTTCGTTCGTGCGTGCATCCGTGCGATTGTCCATCCGTTTGTGTGCGCATGCGTTCGTCTGACCGTCCGTTTGTGCTTGCTTTCATCTGACTGCCCTTTCGTTCGTGGGTTCGTCCGTCTAGCCGTCCGTTCGTCCGTGCGTGCTTTCGTTCAACCGTCCATTCATGCGTGCGTTCGTCTGTTCGTTCTTTTTGCGTTCGTTTGTGTGTTCGTTCGTTCGTGCGTTCATTCGTGCGTTCGTTTGTAACTACGTTCTTGCGTGCGTGGGTTCGATCTTTTGTAAATTGTTTTCTTCTATCTTTCCTTCATGCGTTCTTTTGGCCGCCTATCCGTCCGTTTGTTCATTCATTGTTTTTTCGGCTGTTCTTCTGTCCATCCTTGCGTTCTTTCCTCGTTCGTTTGTTCGTTTGCAGGTTTTCATCAAAATTTGTCTTTCCACTGCCATGAGAATGTAAATAATCAAGAAAGCAAGCAAGGATGTGAGGAAGTAAACAAGCAACGAAGTAAGTAATTGAGTTAGCAAGCAAGTAAAGAAGGGATGGAGGAAGTAAATCGAAGAAGTGAAGGTGGGAGTAATATAAGTAAGCAAGGAAGGAAAAAAAGGAAGGAAGGAGGGAAGGAAAGAAGCAATGAAGCAAGGAAGGAAGGAAGAAAGGAAGGAAGTGAGGAAGAAATTTGTGAAGGAAGCGAGGAAGCAAAGAAGGGGGAAAGAAGGGAGCGAGGAAGGAAAAAAGCAAGGACGGAAAGAGGGAAACGAGGAAAGAAAGAAGCGAGGAAGCAAGGTAGGAAGTGAGGAAGGAAAGATTCCAAGGAAGGAAGGACGCAAGGAAGCAAAGAAGGAAGGAAGGAAGGAAGCAAGGAAGCAAGAAAACGAGGAAGCGAGGAGGGAAGAAAGTGAGGAAGCAAGGAAGGAAGGAACTGAGGAAGAAAGAAAGGACGGAAGCGAGGGAACAAGGAAGGAACGATGCGAGGAAGGAAGGAAGGAACTGAGGAAGCAAGGAAGGGAACGAGGAAGAAAGGAAGCCAGGAAGCAAAGAAGGAAGGAAACTATGAATCAAGGAAGGAAGGAAGCAAGCAAAGACGCAAGAAAGGAAGGAAGGAAAAAAGCAAGGAAGGAAGTAAGTAAGGAAAGAAGGCGAGAAAGCAAGGAGGGAAGGAAGTAAGGAAGGAATGAAGCGACAAAAGAACAACGCGAGGAAAGAATGAAGGGAACGAGGAAGCAAGGAAGGAGGAAAGAAGGAAGTGAGGAAGGGAGGAAGCAAGGAATGAAGGAGGGAAGTGAGGAAGGAAGGAAGCGAGGAAGGAAGGAAGGAAGGAAAGAAGGAAGCGAGGAAGCCAGGAAGAAAGCAAGCGAGGAAGCATGGAAGGAAGGAATGAAGCAAGGAAGGAAGGAGGAAAGGAAGTGAGGAAAAAATTTATGAAGAAAGCGAGGAAACAAAGGAGGAAAGAAGGGAGCGAGGAAGGAAAAAAGCATGGAAGGAAAGATGCTAGGAAGGAAGGAAGCGAGGAAGGAAGGAAGCGAGGAAGCAAGGTAGGAAGGAAGCGAGGAAGGAAAGATGCGAGGACGGGAGGAAGCGAGGAAGCAAGGAAGGAAGGAAGCAAGAAAAGAAGGGGCGAGGAAGGAAGGAATGAAGCAAGGAGGGAAGGAAGGAAGTGATGAAAGAGAGAGGCGAGGAAGCAAGGAAGGAATGAAGCGAGGGAGGAAGGAAGCGAGGAAGCAAGGTGGGAAGCAAGCGAGGAAGGAAAGATGCGAGGAAGGAAGGAAGCAAAGAAGGAAGGAAGCAAGAAAAGAAGAGTCGGAGAAGAAAGGAAGGTAGGAAGCGAGGAAGGAAAGAAGCAAGGAAGGAAGGAAGCGAGGAAGGAAAGAAGCGAGGAAGCAAGGAAGGAAGGAAGCGAGGAAGCAAGGAGGGAAAGAAGCAAGGGAGGGAGGAAGCAAGGAAAGGAGGAAGCAAGGAAGGAAGGATGCGAGGAAGGAAGTAAGCGAGGAAGCAATGAAGGAAGGAAGCAAGGAAGGAACGAAGCGAGGAAGGAAGGATGCAAGGAAGCGAAGAAGGAAGGAAGTGAGGAAGCAAGGAAGGGAGGATGCAAGAAACGAAGGAAGGAAGCAAGGATGGAAGGAAGGAAGCGAGGAAGGAAGGATGCAAGAATGCGAGGAAGCAAGGAAGGAAGGAAGCGAGGAAGGAAGCGAGAAGGGAATATCGACTTGTACTCAAAGATGGAACAGAGGGGACAGTTGCAATACAGAGAATACAGAATATCTTATATTACTTCAAATTATGAAAATGAGGTTGAATGTTTAACATTTCGTCCGATCTAATACTCATCACATTTCTCAGATGATCTTTCTTATTCTGTAAAATGGCATGGAAATATGATACTGCAGTTTTCCATAACAATGTATCATAATATGAACTATATTAAACAGTTGTGTTTGCTGTTATTGAGAATTGTATTGACAAATAATGTATTCATCAAACTGGGTACAATAGTGGACGAAGGTGGGTACGAAAGTGGGAGATTTTCAGGGTATAATCGGGATTCACTCCATTTTTGAGAGACACTTGCTCCTGTTTTCAGCGGGAACTCCTCATGTTTTCAGCGGGTCCTCCTCCTGATTTCAGCGGGATCTTTGCTTAATTGCTCCTGCTAGAAGCGGGGCCTTGAGGGATATGATCAAATTTAAATATAAAATGTTCTGTAAAGCTTTAGGAAGTGAAACTCGGTACATCTTTATTTCATATCACTATCGTTATTTCAACCACAGGACAACATCGTTCTTCACCAATAACGTATAGAAATATATAGATAAAGATTCAAAAAGATACTTTCTCTCTTCAATTGACAAATAACGAACCACAGAACGACCGCTCGTGATACATTTTTTCCAGCAGTTGCTTTTTTAGTCTCAATACCATGTAATCATTGGGAAAAATTAAAAGAAAACGTTTTGTAAATCATACAATTCAAGAACACAAAAAAGAACCCATGACTTCTTTTTATTCCTCGCGATTTCAGCGGGAACTTGCTCGCGATTTTTAAATCATAGCGGGGATTTAGATACTACCCGTGTAATCGGTAACCCGCCGATAGTACATTGCTGACCGGTATGTACCTTTATCAATTAATTAGTTGATCGGATATGATTCTGTTTTTTCCTGCGCTTGCGTTTGCACGGTAATCTGTTTGTTTTTCAAATGTCAGCCACATGTAATGCAGTGGTCACATTTGCTCCGACATTCAACACCGGTACCTGGCCCAAGAGGGGGGGGGGGGGAACCCCAGAGCTTTAGCGATGACGGACATATAACGTCTCTTGCGTACCACCTTCGTTTGCGCAAATTCTCACCAGTTAGTAGAGAGGTTAGCAACACTACTTTTTACAACGTAAAACGCGAACGGGAAGGCACACGCAGGTTTTTCTTAGGACGTGACGTCATTTTGATCTACTTATTTCCCGGTTTACGTACATCCAAACGTGAAAAATCAAAGTCTAGGTAGGTCGTTCCGTAAGGATTTTTAGTACTTTATCAAGTTCGATCGAGATAAATATGATATAGGTCGAATGCATGAATAAGTTTGACACAAATCTGTGTATATATCGAGATCATTTGTGTCCAATCTAATCAAATATAACTCGAATACTGGGGCACCCATTTCATATGTTAAATTAGGTGCATTCATGCACCCTCTGGGTCTCTGAGGATCGTGTTGGACCCAGGGGTGCATAACGTGCAATGTAAATTTATCAAATTTAAGAAATGCTGAAAAGTCCGGATCTGATGTTTTTGACTTTTCTCCAAAGATCTTACCTCGATCTTGAAAATTCTTTCACCACTGGATAGCGGGACCAAAAATCTTCAAAATGAACCCATAAAAGCTTCGCTTTATTACAGTAATTATGTGTAATCGTTGCAGATAAGACGAAATTACATTGCCGACCGGTCTTCTTGACATTTTCGCTGACCTAATTTCAAGTGCGCATGCGTTGCATAAATCAGTGAGATGATCACGTGACGTAATTTGATGATCACGTAACGTAATGTTTTCCAATAACCAGTTGGTAAAACTGCTATAGTGGATTCTTGATTCAATATGTTTGTTATCACTTGTAACTGTTCTGGCTTCAAATCAAATCCAAACTTTGGTTTTATGATATGCGAATAGAGATCATTGATTTCTTCCATCGAATACATGATGGTCGAATGAATGATATAAACTCTGTATAGTAACATAGATGGCAGCAATATTCAATGGCTACTCTCGTCAAATCTCGTGAGAACTGAAGCCGCCATAAAGATTTTGTGAACATTAGCGACAAACGGCGATTTTGCTACAAAATTGGCACAATTCAACCTTCTACAACCACAAAGATATGGTAATTTTTTGTATAAATCATCAATGTATCCATTTTGTTTATATTTCTCTGTAAATGACGCAGAGATTTAAGCAGAAGATTAAACTAAAGTGAACCGTCAAAAAATAATCAAGAAAAACTTAGATTGGCATGAATTTACAAGGATAAACACCGCCTCTAATGCAAGTCCATACGACAATCCAACGCATTAGAGGCGGTGTTCACCGTCTAATGTTAAATCTGATGAGATTACATGCATAGCAATTGCCCACATGTCAACTCATCTTAATTCTACTATACATATTCACGGTGACCAAGAGTTAACAGTGCAAATCGGCCCGGTCGTGTTTTTTTAAACTCTTTAGTCGTGTTTTGTAAGAACATGGGATGCGACATTCGATAGAATGGAGCAAAATGGTAAGAATATTCTATATTTTACAAACTTACATATCTTGACTTCTACCTAAGATGTTCTTCTTCATACCCACGAATCTATTTTGGGGATAAATCCATCATACTTCATATCAATCGCAATTTTATACCAAAAGTGCCAGAAATATGTACTTAATTTGCATTTAGTGTTATTTAATCAAGTTTAAACAGACAATCCATTCAACAACGTGGAATAATATTCACTACTCTAAAGATCGTGTAAATATTTTAACTGTATTTATCTTAAAATTGCCATAAATGACCGTAAATGTAGAAAGTGGAGTTAACTATGGAGAAGGGACAATATAACGCCATGGACGTGTCTTATAATAAGCATGTTAACGTTTTGGAATTGTAAAGATAACGTTTTAGACGTGATAAAATTAACGACTTTGAATTGTCTTGTAATATTGTTCACATTAAGCATGTTTTGTTGCTTAATAATTTGTCTGTGCTTCTGAAAATAATCGTATTAGTACTTTGAAGATAAGTGTTTGTACTACATGACTATTCACATATTTTGTAATTTCAGTTCCTCGGAATAAGTGTTACGCGTGCTCTTTCAAAAGCGCTCATAAGAACACTTTCCTTGAACATTATGAGAAGGTTCATCCGACTGATCTGTTCAGAATTGACATCCCTATCCACGATCTAGTACTAAAATAAATTGAAAAACTAAATTCTTACTATCTCGTATTTCTGCTAGAAGTTAAAACTCAAAAAGTATCTTCTTAATCAATAATATGATATATAGTTTATGTTGGTTTTATAATAATTTGCGTGCCTAGTGCGACACACACTATTAACCAGAAACAAATAGTATGCATTATTACACAAGCAGATCCCCACCATCTGTTCATGTATTAGTATAAAACACGGGAATATACATTATGTGTCACCCGTTTATTGTAATTTGTAGTCAAGATATGAATAAATAAGAATAAATAAAAAAGACAGATATATGATTTAACAAGATCAACAGATGTTGTAATTTAATTCGCTAGAAAACTATGTTACAGTACAGTTCATAGATCACTCATAGAAAGATGGCAGCATATGTAGCGTTTTTTACCTATTGCAATTTGAAAATTAAAATTGAAATTGTATTGCATTGTGTAAGGCGAATTTGGGAATAACATCGAATCAAATTGTTAAAAATCCTGAGGCAAACCTAATAGATATTGGGCATACGATTTTAATAACGGTGGAGTTATTCCTTACATTAGGTGATCATATATATGCATTTACATGTAGTGCATCACAAACTAAACATTTCCTCTCATTTTAAATAAATTTATTTACGTTCATGACAGGGAAAAGTGAGTTTAAGGCCAATAGGGACGTTTTAAAACGTATTTGAGGCAAATTCAAAAATAGCAACGAGCCATTTAATGAGCGACAGGGCAATTAAAAAATAATATGACTGGTAAAATTTTCAAAATGACGAGCGACGAGGCAAAGCTCGCTTGCATTAACCATGCGTGTCTGATTCTAACCATTTTGATTTAAGTATCAAATTCGGTAGTGATCCCATAGATCAATCTTGACATATTATGTCGTACATTTGATTATTGTTAATCATTTATAATTAAGATAGTGTCACTCAGACAACAACTTCTTCCACATTGTGATCATTTTTTGGGAAATACATAATGTTAATTGTGCTGTTTCCCACTTCCAAATCGTTAAACCTCAATGTCTCTACACGTCTAGAACGTCTATGCTCTTTTGGATGCTCTTTTGGTTTCTTCGAAGAACAAAACTGCTCTCAATATGATTGCTCAGTATATCTGACCCATATGGTAACATTTCAATCACATACAGTTATGCTGTTTTGTGTGTTTTTTTTTGTTTTTTGTTGTTGTTGTTTGTTTTTTACTAAACTGACTTATATTTCCTATAAGCTCTGCTGTACCCCCTGATTTTGCCTCTGTTCCAAATAATGTTCAAACTATATTGTAAGTATATATGCACTCATTGGTGTAATTGTATTCAAGAACACTTTTGACATTATGCCAAAACTTTACCTCATATTTGGTCTATAATGATGTGACAAACCAATACTTTCGTTCAAATAGATGAATACATAGGCAGGTCCCCAACTGCATTAAATAGGTATGACAACACACATGTATTATTTTGTCTAATATTGGGAATATACACTTTTTAAAGTGTCACCCAGTTCATATATTGTATTTTGTGTGTATTTCAAATAATAAATAAACATAAACAAAACATAAACGTTTCACTAACAGGTCAACGTCATTAACCGCAATCTTTTCAACACGTCTAAAGAGTTTAATCTAAAAAATATTATTCGGTCAATTGCTACTTATTTAAGCTCTTCCAACTTTTGATTTTCGCACATATTGTGAATGCTTTCCTTATGAATCGATGTATTCATTGAATACAAGTCAGGCAAGTGATTTTCAGGCAAAAATATGTATAACACTGACAGAATTGCTCATTTCCCGATATAACAAGACTATAGCACACGATTCGTGCAAATAACACGTTTACGAATACCTGAAGTTAAGATATATAGTATGGAAAGCAATATAAATTACTTACTTTTACATAAAGTCAAGTGACAGCAATTTCATGACCAAATTTATCAACCTACCTCTCAAATTTTCAAAAAACACGACTAAAGAGTTTAAAAAAACACGACCGGGCCGATTTGCACTGTTAACTCTTGGTCACCGTGAGTTGGCCAATTTCCTTAAAAGGATAATTATTCTGATTTCGAAAACATATAGAGACGTCGCAAAAAGTTCGCGCACGTATTGTTACACATTTTCGCACAGAATGTGACGTTTTTGAGAAAAATGTACACATATGGAAATCCTTTCGTCCTCCACATTTGGCTCTATATCTCAAAATATTTAAGACGAATAACTCTAATATCGTATATATATTAACAATGGGTTAGGAGCATCGTAAAACACGAATCAATTGATATTTTAGGTGAAATAATCATATGTGTTGCGGTGTTTGAACTAGGTGAATCGCGTAAATTCGCCCTATTTTAATGATTTCTGAAAACCTTTCGTCCTCCACTTTTCCACATACAACAGAAAACACATACGTTTGCGAACAAAATCGACTATATATTTATTAATCAACTAGAGTTTATGAGCAAATAAACATGTATGATTTATTAAAAATTGGTCTCGTATTTTTTGTTTAATGTACACCTGAAAAGTTGAAGGTAACAAAAATGAGCAAAAAAGGTCACTGTCGACAGATTCTATTTTTCAAACTA